TTCATCAAACAATTTTTTAAAGGTATTAATGTCAACCTGCCCCTACACAAAAGGGCAGGTTGACATTAATAACCTGCCCCAGGGGGCAATTACTGAAGCAGTAATTGTCCCACTAAGCCTATTAAGAACTGTGGTAACTGGCAATATGTATTTTACCTTGATGTGGAGAAATTTTGGCCAACTCTTCTTTTTTTAAACTGTCTGTTTAAGGTTGTACCACAACATCTAAATCAAATTTAAGTTTCCATTTAGGTAAGGCCACTCCAATACCCGTCTTCAGGTATTTTGTTTGTTGTTCAGGGGTAGACTTATTTTGGAATTTTTGATGTGGCCTAATCCAAGTCTGCTTGAGTCTGAGGTCACAAAATGATGTTTGAACATTATCTGTCCGTCTGTCAGTCAGTTAATCAATCAATCAATCAATCAATCAATCAATCAGTCAATTATTTCACACGCTTATCCCTAGTGGGGTCGCCAGCGGTGCTGGGGCCTTAACCAGTGGTCAACAGGTGAGAGGCGGGGTTTAGATCCCGCCTTCTCAAGTCGATTGACCTATCCCATCATCCTTCCATAAAAAGGATAAGAAAACGATTCACTTTCGCTTAAACATCAGTAATTGTATTTACCTGTAATTACGTATGAAAAAAGCATTTTACGTATACACATACACAATTTTTTAAAAGTCATTTCATACCCCTTTCATTCACCTTGAATCTCTAAACATTGTCAACAAATCAAACTCCTGCTCTTGCCAGCCTACATCCCATAAAATAGCTGCATTTGAGGCAAGTCTCCTCTTGATATTTATTATAATATGGCTGCCACACAAGACGCACTCGGATGTTGACGTTTGACCTGAGTGGCTTAAATATAACAACCAAACATTTTACCAGTACTCTACTGCACAATGAAGCGTTTAGCACTCATTTTAGAACACTTAAGAACTGTCATAAAGTGGTTTGGGAAGAGCACTCAGTTTTCAGTAAAACTATTGCAGCTGTATAATTTGTTGCTTATTTTTAGTTTTTTTAAATTGGTTTATTGTCTTTAGTTAATGAGTATGTCCTCTTTGTTGTTTAAAATCTCTCCATACCTCATGTTGTCTGCCCTTGAGGTTAGGAAGCGCTGGTCTGCTCATGGCAGACGTCTAAAATCCTCCTGCATGACTAAGTTTAACAGTTTTTTTTTTTTTTTAGTAAAAATAATTGTGATACTGACCATGGAAGGTTATGTTCAATAGACAGTCATAAAGAGACTCTTTCAAGAGAGCCATTTATGCCTGTGGCCAAAAGAGAGAATAGTGTGCGAGTACAAGTATGATCTCAGGGGAGCCTCTTCTCGTAGGTTCGTTTCATGGCCACTATAGTTTTAGCTCTCTCATGATGAATTTTTTAGCTCACAAAGCAGAGCGGCGCCACACAACCTGATCTCGGGCCACTTTAGTAAGAAGCGTTATTTGTGGCTCCTTTTTTTTTTCTTTCTTTCTTTTTTTTTCGTTTTTCTCAAACATGGCATCTAAAATCACATGCTTTTGTCTTCAATAAAGAATCTCTGTTATTGCATCCCATCATCATTATCTTGATTGGATCTTCCACATCTGCTTTTCTGTTACTGGTGCCTTCCTGGAGGCAGAAGTAAGGCCAACTTCTATTTGTCACTCGGAGAGAAGAACACAGAGAGGCACTTAGTGGAAATCTCGGCTGTCATTTTTGGAGCAGGTTTGACCCGAGAACTCAACCTCCACCTCCTTTGTCTTCTTCTTTGTGGATATGAAGTGGAAAACGGTTTTTGAGACCTAAATTATTTAGGGCAATAGATTTGTCATTGGTAGCAGCTTAACAAATATTTATTGTAATTTAAATACATTTTATTGACATGCATCTCTGCAATATTATTTTTGAACTTATGTTAAATAAATTGCAGAAATGCAAAAGTCCTGGTAAGAAACAACCAATCAGAACCAGGTCTTGGCACTGTCAATCAAGCTTGTGTACGTGCTGCTCTCACCCTTCCCCTTGCTACGGCAACTCCTCACAGCAGAGCTTCTCGTGAATGTGCAGACTAGTTAGCATGGCCACTGATGACCGCTGCACTAAATCAGCAATCTTGAGCAGCACTTACATGAGCATGACTGATGGTGCTAAGACCTTCCTCCTGGCTCTGATTGGTTGTTTTTGATCTGGAGAGGTGTTATTCTGCCCTCATGCTACTAAGCAAAACATTGTTTTGTTGTTGTTAGGGTAAAAACAAAATGTTAGAAACGTTGTTTCTCTTCTGTCTGTCGGTTCCACAGCTGTTAATAATCATCTGATTATCACACCTGCATTTTATGTCTATTTCCACTCACCCTATATATAACCATTTAAACTCTGGTTTTAATTTTTTTACTGGTTCATCTGTTCTCCACTGCTAGCCTTTGCTCGACTCTGCTGTAAATTTGTCGTGGTTTGTTTTTGAAGGTATTTAGTTTAGCTGTGGTCAGCTCCCGCCATTTTGGATTTGTGGACCTTCAAGTGTTGCTTTTGTTAGCTATTGCTTTGGTTAGCCATTTCGTTAGCTATTATAAAGCTCACCACTCTTAGAGTTGATGCTTTTGGGCATGACCCATCACTAGTGCATGTGCTTCAGGAGAAAAATATGCCAGACCCAGTGTGAATTCATCCTGTGTGTGCGTAACACTTTTCATTTTATGTGCAGACTGGCAGAAATGTCAGAGAAAAGCAGGGAAGGCTGGCTGAACTTTCATAAATTTTACACAATTCCATACTGAAGCCATCCAGTTGCACAGCACATGTCCACATCTGTTTAGAAAGACACGGTTCACTCTGCCATGTTAGCAATGCAGGATGTCTTTAATTTGACAGGCTGTGCTTTCATATGGTTAGTATTCCATTTCACATAAATAGCTCTGCTCTGGCTTAAATATAAATGTATATATATTTTTAGGTAAGTTTGTTTGTTTTTGCTGAAGGCTATGAATGGATGGGTGTGTGTGGTGAACTTTCTGAAAAAGCCATTGTGAACATTTGTGTATGTGTTCAGTCCTCATCAGAAAAGGACATTGCTATAATGACCTACAGCAGAGTAGTCCTGCCTTAGCTGGATCATGTTTTGGTGTTTTTTTCCATAACCATTAAAAACAAACAAACAAACAAAAAAAGTAATTTTGTAATAATTCACTGCAACTCTCTTATATTGGTTAAGAGATATTTTAATGTTGCCACAATTAAAATTCCTTTGGGCACTTTAAGTCTTCTAATAGCTTTATAATAGCTAACGAAATGGCTAACAAAAGCAATAGCTAACAAAAGCAACACTTGAAGGTCCACAAATCCAAAATGGCGGGAGCTGACCACAGCTAAACTAAATACCTTCAAAAACAAACCACGACAAATTTACAGCAGAGTCGAGCAAAGGCTAGCAGTGGAGAACAGATGAACCAATAAAAAATTAAACCCAGAGAGTTTAAATGCTTATATATAGGGGTGAGTGGAAATAGACATAAAATGCAGATGTGATAATCAGATGATTATTAACAGCTGTGGAACTGACAGACAGAAGAGAGATGAATAATAACACAGAAGAAGCTTGAACTACTAAACACTACAAACCATAGGTGAAAAGACTTGATATAATCTAAGAGTCATAAATGTAATTGCCAAAAGAACAAAACACAAGAATAACTAAAAACTAAACAAACAAATGAACTGCTATGGGAAAACTACAATGACAATAATATTGTCATTTTTATTCTAACAATAACACCTCACGTAATTGAAGAGCATCACAATATAAAACCAATTCTCAAATACAGTTACTTTGACATATTCTGCATCGGCCATTGTCTCAGTCTGTTGGTCTGTCTCTCTGTGCATTTCCTTGCCATGCATTGCGTGCAGCAAACTGTTGGCTTCAGTGTGGCACGTGATGCTTCGAAAGACAACCTCACGTACGATGGAGGACGCTTAAACTGGACACAAAGACACATGCGCAAACACACGTACACACTCAGATTATCTGAATTATCTAAAGCTTTAAGAGGATTTCTGAAAAGTGGGTGTTGTACTTGAATCTCATGTGCCTGATGGCTATTGATCTACTCAAAGCTTACAAACAGAAACGTGTGCAACAAGTGCAGGTACTTCTTGCAATCATAAACAAGTTTCCTACTTCTTTTTGTTTAGGCATCTAATGTTGTCTTCTGCTATATTAAGCTACATGACATATACACTCAAGTTATATCAAAAACTCTGAAATAAAAAAAAAAACTTTGTAGAAATGTATGTGATCAGGGATACTACCTCTTCATTTACAGCCTTGGTGTATATTCATCTAGGTATGTTGACGCTTTCTCACTTGACAGCTTGTTGACTACAAGCTGTGGCTTGTCAGCCTGCACTTCTGAGGAATTCAATCAACACCCTGCAGCACCCTGCCTCCTATATATATATATATATATATATATATATATATATGTATATATATATATATATATATATATATATATATATATGTTTATTGAAAAATGCCACATTTTGTTAACTTTTTTTGTAAAACAAAAAAAAAGAAATATAAAAAGTTAATTATCTAATTGACACTGTATATACCTTAAAAGGCTTTCACACTAAATATTCAAGAAATCTCTGTAAGTATATGCAATGCTTATTCCCTGTGTCAATCCAATATTTTTTTTTTACCCATAATTCCTATAAAACCTTTCTCGTGTGGATTATTATTTTTTTTCTTTAATTCCTTTATATGTGTGGATTACTTGGGCTGCTGCTGACATCTGGTTAGTGTTACAAAGAAAGATTTTAACTGTAGATATTTCTCCAAGCTTTGTTTTCTGCCAGAATCAGAATGGAAACTTAACGCATTTTGTGATTCTCACAGGAAATAGTTGGATACTAGTCGAGATTTAAAGAAAAACAGTGACAATTTGCCAGTCACTTCATGTAATTATTTTATTACTAGTTAAAATAAGATTAGGGGATTCATCACAACTAAATTGTGTTCGATTGCTTTACTTTATTTGGATAGCCACCATAATGTTACACAAAGAAGCCTATCAACAGGTTTCATCGTATGCTGCTTCAGGGGTAATAAACTTATTGATCTGTTGTGACTACCAACATGTTCTGCAGAGGAGACAAATGCCTTGATGTGCTGAATATTGTTCCATACTTTCACAACCAAGTCAAGTTTTGATTTGGTAATTATGAGTGGATTTCGTCTTCGACAGATTTCTGCTCAAGGCCAATTGTTGGGTCATTACTTTCAGATTTCAATGAAAACTACTCAGACTGTTCATTTTCGTTGTAGTTCCTACATAAATAATAAAAGAGAAATTGATTAGGACGCAATGCAAATGTATAAAAACATACATGCACATGCTATGTTGGCATTTCTTCGTCGCTGCTATTTCTCTGCAGTCAACACTCTGAAGTGACACCGAGGGGAAAACAAACTTTACTTCATTTTGGCTTAGCACATTGTAATTATAGCTGACATTAGCTAATTTACAGCTTGTGTTGCTAGTCCCTCCTGGGTATGTCTTGGCTGTTTCATTTGCCGCTGTTGAGCCAGCAGATGAAACAGCCAGTGTGCAGATGTCCTGTGTCTGTGCACTGCTGGGGATTGCTGGTTTCCCAGCTATCATTACAAACAATCTTCTGATGACAGCAAGTGTAAACCACTTGTTTAGATGGGGGGTAACACGTCTAAATATTCTCATTGATATGTACTCCACATTTTTCTTTTTGTCCTTTTTTTTTTTTTTTTTGTCCCTCTGGAGAAGTAATTTATGTGTGAACTGTTTCCAGATGCTGAAAATCCCTGTTTTTATGATAATAGAGACTTATATTCACGGGGTAATTTGTGGCATGTCTTTCTACTATTACTATAGAAGGCAAACCCTATTTAGATTGAAAATGCATTTGGTTCTTAACATATTTATCAACAACAGTCAAAAATGATTTTGACCCCTTAGATAAAAAGTGGAAGAAAAAGGATGCATAATTTTTAAAACGTTATTTTTTATTTTTATTTTTTTTACAAACAATCAAAGGTTTTTCTTGTATTTGTATTCACTGCCCCAGAGCCAACACTTTGTAGAAGAACTTTCTCACTGTAAGTCTTTTGTGGCATGTCTCTACTGGCTTCATTCAAGTCTTCTGCATCTTCATTTTGCATAGTTTTTTTTTGTAGCTCTAGTTTCCTTTATTTGACTTTCAAATTGGAAGAGAAAGAAGCATATAAGCCATAAGATTAAATTCTGACCTCAAATGAGTGGAGTATATTTGCTGTGGCCTGTACATGGTTTGTGAAAAACTTTTACTATATTTCTTATAACTTGTAAACTTTTAAGTTAAAACATTCCTGTTTTAACTTGTAAAAAAAAACATATTGAAAACCATTTATCCTTCTGTTTTCATCGTAACATTTTATATTTAAATATCACATAAACTCCCATTAAATCACAATATCTTTTTGTGGGTGCAACATGATACGTTAGGGTACAAACAGCTTTGTAAGGCACTGTAGATGAGCTCCATAAAAATATACATCTCATGTCAAAGAAAAGGAAGATTTCAAGAGCTGAGGCTAATATTTAGACATATTGTGATGGAAAAAGCTCTGAGACACATGCTTATATTTCCACTTCATGTTAGATGTGTAGATAGTTTCTATCTTTTGCTTTTGTTTCATAATTTTTTTTGTATTTGAACAATGCTTTCAAAGCAAAGCATGCAGCAGGAAGCTGACTTCCTCTCTGTCCCTTTTGTCTGTTGCCCTTGGAGGGCAGCTTTGTGCTGTGAACTCCCATAAGACCTCTCTTTGTTCTCAGAAGATGAGGCCTGACAGAGTGTGACCGTCCACTTACACCTGAAGTCACCAAAAGCTCAAAGAATAACTGGTACACACTGAACGATGCTCTCTTCCTGCTTAGCCAAAATCAGACCAAGAGGCTCCCCAGCAGCGCGGCACTCAAACAACAAAATAAGCGCAAAAATAGTGACATAAAAATTGTTTCTTCCAGAACATTGGCTGCAATGTTATTGAAGGTGATATAAAAGAGAATTAACATATACTGTAGCAGCTTTGTCATCGGGATTCATTTTGGAGATGCAAGTCTCAAAATGTTGAATTATGGGTATAGGCAGTGACGGAAAATCAGTAGCAGATTAATTACAGCCTGGTTGACAGACTACAAATTGTAAGAGTGTGTTATTTCATTTGCATATCACCTTGGTGAGAAGCCCCTGCTGACAGGTGACATACAATAGCATGATTGTCATGTTTATGTGTCGGCTTATTAAGTCCAGTGGAGGGGACATCTTTGTAGATAAGACAGAATATCAGTGTGAAGGCAAGGTGTCCTACATCCTGTGTCCCACATCTCAGTGTCTCTCACTCTCGGAGGAGGAAATGCTGAGAAGACAGACAGGGGAGGCAGACAGGAGAAAAGGTTGCAACAGAAGATTTAAATCTAACTTGTTTGATGTGACAGAAAGCAAACTGACGGTCTGTTTGTTCTCATGATTACTGCTCTTTGATGAAATATTGCATTTTCCTGTTTTGCCTATTTGAACCAGCCTATGTTGTTGTTTATCTTTATACTATTACACTTTTAATGTACATAATGTTCAAACTTCGCAACTGATAGAAACAATTCATGTTGTCTGTCTGAACAAATAATTTTATGTTTATTAGGAAACTTTGACTTATGAATGTGAATAAATGAGGTAAAAAACACTTGATTAAAAAAATCACCATACCTAAAAATGTCTTACTCCATTTCTCTCTCTCTCTCTCTCTCTCTCTCTCTCTCTCTCTCTCTCTCTCTCTCTGTCGCAAAAGAATCATGCAAGAATGAAACACGACAAAGCATAAATTCCCCAAGCCTAACAACCTCACAACAACATAACAACAAAAATAATAATAATAATGATTCAATCTGACAAGACAATAAATTACACTAAATATAGTCGCAAAAATGTCACAAACTCCTTGCTTTGATTTCTGTCTCTGTACCACTTTTTTTTCTTTTTTACAAAACAGCTTCCTTTTTTTTTGTTTCTCAATTTGGCACGCAGCCCTAAACTAAACCTTCTTGTTTCTATTTTTCATCCCGTCCATTCCCCCCCCCGCTCTCTTTGTTTATCTGCCACACTCTATAAAACTCACTCCATTTCTGTGCTGGATCAGTGAAAGCTGGGACACAAACAGCTGAGCCAAAGAGACACACAGACCGGGAGAGCTGTCGGGTGGAGGGCGGGGAGAGGGACAGAAGGCGTGCGGGAGTCGCGGTAGCATGGTCGAGTGCTGGACTTTGGCACTGGCCGTCCATCTGTCACTTTCTTCCACCCTCTCTGTGGCACTGACGGGTCGTGGCGATGGCAGCCAGTGACGGATGACTAATCTTCTGCTGGTAATGAATGAGACACCTCCCTCGGAATGCCAAAAGCGTTGCATGTGTGGAGGGTCCTGCTGTGAATGGGATGCAATTTCTTATGTAATGCCATATACCAAGCAAATACATTGAGCACTTTCTTGTATGCTGATAACACAAGGTAGGACGAGCACTCAGAGATTTAGCAAAGATTAGATTGTCAGGGTTTGTTTTGGTGGAAACACGTGATGGGCAGGTGGAATGGAGAAAAAAAAAAGGACACTTTCGTTATGAAAGACGACGGTGATGATGCGCTGCTCATTTTGTTTGACTGTCTGCCTTCCAGTCAATCCGTCTTGACTCTGTGCGCTGAGTAGCCCAGACGTGTCTTGTATTCAGCTCATAATGCGCAGGCGTGATCCTATCAGAGCCCCGCAAAAAAAAGAAAAAGAAAAAAAAAAAAAAAAGCTGTAACCATCCAGAACTAGACGTCGTGTGCGTTGTTCCTCATGTGGCGCTCAAACGAAAGCTGAAACATCCATTTTGCAGGTCGACTTAAGAGACTGTATAAGGGGAATGAAGATTTCCTTTCTCGGTAAACCTTTTGGGCAACACAGTCCAACCTGTGGATAGTACACAGAGCGCCTCTGTCCAGTCCCCGCTATCTGGGACGCTCTGCTTTCCCTAAAGCTCGCTAAGCGCGTCTTCTTCTTATTATTATTTTTTCCTTTTTTTTTTCACCGTTGGCGGCTCGGCGTGGGATCTGCGCTTCGATCTGAGCCTTGTGCAGGTATTGAGTTTATGAATGGCACTAACATGGAGGAAATACCGTTTCAGAAAGTCAAAACCAGGCGGAAGAGAAGTCACTGTCCACCGGGTGTCCCCCTGACCACCATCGCCTGCGAGGATGAGTTCGACTGCAAGGAGCTGGAGTCTCTCTTCCAAAATTACAACCTGAAACTGGAGCAGACATCCACGCTCAAAGCACTGGCTGTCCTCATCTTCACGTCCGCGACGCTGGCTTTGGTGGAGCTGCTGTCCGGTCCGAGCCTCACCATCTCCAAGGGGTCCCATCCGGTCCACTGTGTCATCTTCCTCTCCCTCTTCATCGTGACTAACGTCAAGTACCTGCAAGTGACTCAGCTCCAGCAGATCGTTAACCTGACACTTCTCTTCAGCTTCACGTTTTCCTTCCTCTGCTGCCCCTTCTCCCTGGGCGCCATGGGACTGGAGCCCCCGACGTCCCCGGAGCAGGGCGTGTGGCAGCTCATCCTGCTCACCTTCGTCGCCTACGCGCTCCTGCCCGTGCGGACGCTCCTGGCTGTTGTGTTTGGAGTAATGGTCTCCATCTCCCATCTGATTGTGACCGCCACTTCTGTCACGGTGAAAACTCAAAAACTGTGGAGAACGGTGAGTATACGTTCACTCATTTATTATTATTTTTTTTTATGTGTGTGTACTTATTTTTACTGTTATGATTGTATGAAGCATGCTGTTAGTATACTTCATACCAACAGCAATATCCACAGTAGTAGTTTGTAGTTAGTTATACCCAATCCCGTGCGCAGGCACAGTTTGGATGTCAGTTCAGCACCGAGGACAGCTCCCCGTCGGGAGGCCCGATAGGCTTTGTTTTAAGTCTGACCAAAACAGGCCACAAATAAAACATTACCCGTAATCAGTTCAACTCAACACACAACTTATTGTCAGAACAACCGATTATAAAATAGACATACACATTGTGATAAAAAAAACACAATTGACTAAGAAATAATATGCATACATCATAATACCATGTATTCCTGCAAAACACGAATACTAGTCTATATTAAATAAAATGTACATAAATAGATATTGGTTAATCATAATAATCAATAATAATATTATTTTTTTTCCTTTAAAGTACATGGTTGCCCATGGAGTTGGAATACTATTCCTCCCAGGCTTATATTCCTGGTTTTATCTTAGTTTAACTTGTCACAGTGACATGGTTTAGATATCTTACAGTATATGCATGAAGTTTGGAGAAGTTATACACCTTATCTTGCAGAATAAATCACTGCCATAGTCCTTTCATGTCAAGAGATGAAAAATATTTTATCTGCATCAGCGTACGTCGAAAGTGCTTCAAAAGCATTCCCCAAAGTAAACAATAAGGGCAACCCATTAATGTCCTGTTGAAGAAGTTGAAGTAGTTGTTCTTGTTCTTACATTGTTCTTGACACTTCAACATGTCCTGTCATAAATGAAAGTAATGCTGTAGTCCCTGACCCATGTTATACCTTCACGGTATAAACTCATCCCATATCTGAGTTCAGCAGACTTGGACCAAATAACCGTCTGAATCAATTATGTTTCGTCAAAGGGAATAAGTGCTGTGAACCTGAAGGAAATAACTTGAACTCAGAATAAAGAGGGTGAACTCTGATGGAGTAGATTTAGCTTAAAAAAAAAACACAAATGAATTTTACCAGCCTATAAGAGACTTCTTTGATAAGAACATTTTTCATTTTGTCACAAAAACAAAACACACGCTTTTGTTTTTGGAGTCAAAAAAATAAAATAAAATAAAATAAAATAAATAAATAAATAAATAAATAAATAAATAAATAAATAAATAAATAAATAAAATAAATAAATAAACAAACCCAAACACTTGACCAAAAACACTCTAATATCAATAAATAAATGTGATAGGTTGAAATAAGAAGTGGCATTTTGTGAGTCTATACCTTCAATTTCATTAAACATTTTAATATTTTCTAATATAACATTTGAAAAAGCTTTGCGATTGTCAAACACTTTTCCAAGTTTTAAGTTCAGGCTAGAAAACAGAGGAGACTAGGGCTTGGTGGTTGCAGTCGAATCTGCCCATGAATAAAATAATTTCTTGTCAGGAATATGAGGAATTAAAAAAATCTTAGAGCTCATATCTATGGGTTCTTGCGCTGGTTAAGTATGATACATAGGCTTTTATTGATTTTTTGCTTTATCCATTGATGGACTTTTCAAACTTTTCCCCCCCAATTTACCCAAATGAATAAGTGAAAGGAAACAAAAGCCGACAGGTGTGCTTTATGTCACAACTAAACCAGCATGTAAACCACTGACAGTTTCCCTCGGTGTAGGTTTCTGTTCCAAAGAGACTTGGATTTTAATTTAGAACCAAGTGACACCCTTCCAAAACCAGAAGTAGGCCAACTTAGAGAGCCACAGACACGAACCACTTGGACCACATGTATTAGTTGTAGAAAATAGGACAAAGTCATCTCAGTCTGTGCATCTTGGTATTTCTGTTTACGTTCACATGTCTGACTGTCATTTGGTGCCTTGGAGGAAAATCCATCACACCAGTTACAACCTTTCAGGCATATTGGAGCATTTAAGCCTTCATGTCACTTATGATATAAGTATTGGACTGTTCTTGCAGCAGCTAAGAACTGAGATTCAATCAGCTGTTCACATCATCTGCCATGAGGGCATACTTGAAGAGGAAATTGTTTTTTTTTTTCCTTTTTTTTTTTTTGTACGGTACCTAAGAGGTACCTGTGTAGCACAGTGAAGGACAGTGAAAGCAAAGCAACCACAGATAGCTAATCCATTAAGCTCAGAGATGAGCTGTGTAGCATGACCCTGCACGTCCCAGGTTTGGACCAACCACCCTCTATATGTCTCAGTTATTCAGCCTATGCTTCTTTTCATCAGCAGAGCTCAGTTTGTGTCTCAGTTTGTGTCTTATTACTGACATTTGTATGGAATTGAACAAGTTTCCTTTCGTTCAACTTTAGGTCTTGATGTCATACTTTGATCAACGTAAACACATATGCCTACTAACATGTTGTTTTATATTTTAAACAGGAACACAGTTTCTGTCCTTGATTTTATTACAATTAGAAAATGCAACACTTTTCATAACCTTGATATCAAGCAGCTCATTAAAAACAAAAAAATATATTAATTTTATACAAAATATTCTTAGATTTTTCTAACTTTTGCTAATTGAGATTTGTTAATGTTTTTTTTATGTTGTCAATGATCACTATATTGTTGCTGACATGTTCTACCTCTGCAAAACACAACAAATGACACAATTCAGATTAAGTCAACGTGGTATATCGCAGTCTATTGCGTTTTCATTTATTAAGCTGAAAGGAGAAGTCAGTAGCTAACTGCTGCAAGAATGTCACTTGTAGCCAAATTAACACAACAAATAGGAAGAACACAACAGGGAAGAAAAAAATAATACATGCATAAATTATTTTTATTTATTTCCCTGGGCACTTAATTACTGTCAACAGTGAAAGTGTGCTGTGCACACTTTGGAGGTGTGTACTTTGTTCATAAAGTCAGCATCAGCTAGCCCTTATCCGGGTAAAAAGAAGCTGTGTCCTGTACAAGGTTAAAAGGAGTCACACAGCTGCAGCCTCTGTGGTGATGGATGACCAGAGCATGGGGTCACCAGTGATTAAATTCCACAAATACATAAAATAAAGAAATAGGCAACATCTATTTTTGACCTTTTGGTAGCATGGGGTCTTCTTCTGTGTTATTTAAATTTGAAAATAAAAAGCGGTGTTACTTGTTTCAAAAGAAGAAAAAATCAGCAAAAAAAAAAAAAAAAAGTATTAGTTGTTTGTGCCACTCTTGCTTACGTGCGTGCGTTGGCTGCCCGTTCGACTGGCACTCACTGTTTCAGGGTTTTAAAGTTACAAAATTTAATGTCCCTTTGAGATTAATACCATCTACGTCAGCACAAACAGAGCAAGCGGATATTGATTTAAATGTTTTCATCTTGCCCTACTCAGTTTCAGCAATTATTTATATATATATATATATATATATATATCTTTTCCTTATTCACAGCTGGTTGCAAACACGGTGCTGTTCACTAGTGTCAACCTGTCAGGGCTGTTTGTTCGCATCCTGACTGAGCGGGCCCAGAGAAAAGCCTTCCTTCAGGCTCGCAACTGCATTGAAGAACGGCTCCGAATGGAAGACGAGAACGAGAAACAGGTAAGTGCATCTGTTCTCTGAGTCAAACCTGGGCTCAAATCAAGATGTACATCATGTATTTCTTTGATTTCTATCTAGAGCTGTTCTTATTCCTGGGAACACATTTATTCATAGTAATAATGTTTTTGCATTGCACTATATAAATGAAAAGTGCTTCATATTCTCACTGCCCCCCCCACCCCCCACCTCCCTCTCCTTTTTTTTTTCTTTTTTTTTTTTCTGTTTTGTAAACACACACATGCACTCAGGAGCGCCTGCTAATGAGTCTGTTGCCCAGGAACGTAGCTATGGAGATGAAAGAGGATTTCCTGAAGCCCCCTGAAAGGATCTTTCACAAAATCTACATCCAGCGTCATGACAATGTCAGGTAGGACCTGATCATGCAGCATTGCTGTTGAACAGCACAGCTGTGCACCAACTAATTCACCACAAGCTGCCACAGCCAAGCTAACTAAAGTGTTAGGATCACACTGTCTTGATCAGTCATTGGTCTCAGCTTGAATGTCAATGTGACTAAATAAAACCATGGTACAACCTCCAGCTGTTGAGATTCTTGTTATCGTAAACAGCTCAACATAGTTGCTAAATATAAATACCTTGAGCTAATCTTAGAATTAACCCCCCCCCCCCAAAAAACAAAAAAACAATCAATATAGTTTTAAAACATTTTCAGCATATTATGAGCTGCCTAGCTTTGGACGCTAACAGGAATATTCTTGCATGCTATTATTTCATCTTATATGTCTTAGAGTGTCATTAACTATGCATAAACTGGCATTGTTAATACTCATCCTCTGAATCAAGCTTTCTATGTAGAAGCAACAAAACAGTGGGACATTCTACCAGAACATATGAGAAGATTTATCAATTTTCGATCATTTCAAAAGTTTGTTAGATATTACTCAGAGCCACCATCATTGAAAAGAATGTTTTAAAAAATAAAGTGTGGTGTTGTGGGTTTAGAGTTGTGTAGGAAACATGCATGCAGTATGCAACGGCATTGCTGAATTGTGTCTACTTTGTTTATTTTACTGATCATTCTTTCTTAATTCTTAACTGTTCTTAAACTTTTTCTTATCATGACGTGTCAGGGCAATCTTGATGGAAATACTGTGTGACAATTGGTGGCATTTCTACTTAAAATGTACATTCTCCTTTTTTCGTACACACACACACTCTTAATGGTGATTTTTGAAACAATAAATCTTCTTTAAAAGTTTCTTTAGCAAGACTCCCACTTTCAAAAGCCTCTAAAATTACAGCACTATCTGCAAAATAATCTGATCAGTCATGTTGACAGACGGGAGTTCATTGCAATTATTGTTGTTATTTTTCTGCGGCCGCCTGGATGGAAACAACACTTTAATGCATCACAAAACCATGATGTTATTCTCTAGAAACATTAACACTGCAACAATAATTGGTTCTAACTAATATACAATATTATCTTGGAGTGATTCGACTGTTTTTTTTTTTTTTTTGTTTAGTGTTTTCAAAGTTGCAAATTATCAGCTCCACTTGATGTATTTGTCCAATCTTTTGCCTCTAAATTAATTTCTCAGACCAAATAAAATAAAATAATCTCAAAATGTGCATTCAGCGCAGGATTTTGTAACAACCCTCTGCTTTAGTTTTCCTATGAGGTTCTGCTGTTCTGTCAGTTGTGTCGGACCTTTAACCCTTTGTCAGATGAAGAGCTAAAAGTCAATTTCTTGCAGGAAGATGCACTTTCTCTATCCTCCTTCCACTTTTTCTCTCTGCTTCTCTGACTTCATTGTCAAATCTGCCCTTTCAGCTCCAGCATTTCATTGTTTTGTCTTGTCTTATCTTCAGCTCTTCCTCCTTCCTTTCTTCTGTGCTCTCAGAGCAGCAGCAGGGAGGCTTGAGGAGGAGAATTTGCTTAGCTCTGGGATTAAGTTGCTACAGGGGATTAAATGCAATGGAGACTAGATTCTTGTTGCATAACTCTCTTGGTATGTGTGCGTGTGCTCGTGGGTGCTCACGCTGGTTAAATACAGAAAGACCTTGTGTTGGGGAACTGCTGATTGCTTTTTGCCTTGAACTCCATCGAAGCCAGATTTTAGGGGTGACATACAAAGGGCACGACTCGAGTTGGGGTGAATTTCTAACTAGATTAGTTAATTTCTAACTAGACTCTGTGTTTCTTCCTTCTGTGACAGGAATGTTTGAGAGCTTGCTGCATACGGACATAAGTGGTGAAATGTGTTCCCATTTATATTTTACAAAAGTAAAATACGACACATCACATCATTTGAGTAAAATAAATAGTAGTTAGCATCTAAAATACTGTAGCCAAATATGCTTTTTGTCCATCACCTCTAACAAATTAATTTACTCTAATAAAATTACAAAACACACCAGTTCTAGCCTGTTCTTGTCCTTTGCTCTTTTAAGTAAAGAGGTATGTTCAGTTAACTTTACTTATCATCATCTAAAATTAAAAGGGTTTCATCACTTTTTGTCTTACTGTAACTTTCACATAAAAACTACCATTCATTTTTCCCCCGCTTTATAAACGTAATACACCCAATTATAACCTTAATACAGATTAATACGTTACCACATTCACATCAAGGTTTGAGTGACTCAGATGCATTGAAAAAAAAAGAAACACACACACACACACACACACACACACACACACACACACACACACACACACCCACACAAAAAAACAACACATAGCATTACATCCACTTCATTGTTTTGTATAAAATAGTTCTTGAAAATAAATTTGCGAAAAACAGTTTACTGCGTTCAGTAGGTTTACTTTGAAATGAAATCAAAACAATTAAAAATAAACTACCAGAGTCACTGACTGGCAGTTCATTAATCATACAAGCCCACTCAAAAAAAAGAGAAAAAAAAGTGAGCATGTTATATAGTTAAATTTTGTTGCAAACATATTGCGCTTTTATTGACTCGCCGTCAGCACATCCTCTGCCCACACTGTATCTCCAGAGGGGCCCATCCAGCGCTAACCCTGAAGCCGAGCTCCATGCTCGCATCTTTGACTGTGTGATTAAATTGACATCACATCTGCCAGAGCAGCTACAGCGATGCCTCCTGGAGCGGGAACGAAGATATTTGCATAATTGGGCAAATAACTCTTCAAATAAGTGCCACTGGAGAGGAAATGATGAATGAATGTGGGTGTGTGTCAATGTGTGTGTGTGTGGTTGTTGTGGCGGCATAGTTTGTCCGACGATATCAGGTGTAACATTCTAATCACTGCAGGATTAAAGGTCCAGTTCGGCATCACGTAACTGTAAATCGTTCAAATCATAATAACGCACATAGATGAACGTTTGACAGTTAAATATTGATCTATTTTGGCTCCATATACAATTTTCAGCATCCCTACTGTTCATTCATGTAATCTGATTCTTGCTCTTATTATGTGCCTTACGTTTTCTATAGCAAAGAAACTTAGATTGCAAGAGGAGCAGCTAAGTCAACTCGTTGCAGTTTCTATGCTGGAAGTTGTACTTGAATGAGCTCTTGCACTGTCTTACAGGAATAACTATGAACCTCCTGGGAAGAGGCATCACCTTGACTGTAGCAGGAGTTTCTTTAGAATTCCAACTGGCGCTCCAATGCTACCGTACCACAACATGCAAGTCACATGTACAGTGTCTCTCGTATTTTTTGCACTTCTCTTAAAATTTCATAACCCTCTCAGGTAACACTTTATTTGAAGGGGTGTGCATAAGACTGACATGACACTGTCATAAATATGACATAACACCTGTCATGAACATAAAGAAGTCTTTATGAATGTTTTATGACAGTTGTCATGAAGTGTCATTCGGTAAATAATGACACTTTTAATGCAAAGTTGCTCTAAAAGTTGCATTGAAAGTCCATTAAAAGTGCCAACTTTGCATTAAATTATCATAATTTACAAAATCATGCATAGTTGGCACTTTTAATGGACTTTTAAAGCACCTTTTCATTAAAAATGTCATTATTTACAGAATGACACTTCATGACAACTGTCATAAACATTCATAAAGACTTCTTTATGTTCATGACAGATGTTATGTCATATTTATGACAGTGTCATGTCAGTCTTATGCACACCCCTTTAAATAAAGTGTTACCCAAAGGAAATTTGTTAGAAGGAAAAATGTGAGCCCCACTTTTACAGTGGTAATTTTTCAAAGCACCCTGTGACTCAACTATTCAGTGTTCTTCGGTAGGAGTCTATCAGCTCCCACATTTACACTCACTGATTTGCTCCGTCTACCTTGCAAAAGTTGTCAAGATACACTAAACTCTGAGCTAAACAGACAATTTAAATTTTCAGATCAAATATTTGAGTTTGGTTTCAATAGACCTATTTCTGACAGGTGCATTTTTTTAATACAGTTGCTTGGTCGTGGTCAAATTGTTATTTTTCATACAGTGTCAACAACTGATTGAGTCTAACCAAAATTTTAGTGTGGTCTCTTTAGTCTTAATTTTTTTTTTGTGTGTGTGTGTGTGTCGCTCAAATCTGTCAGAATCTCTTCACAAAGTGTGATAGATGATGGTAGGCATTTTTGCTCATTTTCTTATTTCATATTATCTGTGAACTGATTAATGATTCTTTGGCAAAATTTGACTAAAATGTATGCACTCATTTTATAACTAACACTGACACCTTAGTTGCACCTAATTAATCAGCTAGCCACTAATAGTTTAGTCTTTTTTATGCCACTGTTGTGTTACAAAATATACGGAAGCGTATTGCTATCACGCAGGGAAAAAATTTTTTCGAGCGCTATCACGTTATAATACGCTTCCGTAAAAATATTATGCAATGAAAAACAAATTATTATTCACATATTTTAAAGGCTGTAATTTATTTTTTTTAACCTTCCAATGAGCAGTAGAAAATTATATTTAACATAAAATAGCATGGCTTTTCTTTCAACCATCTGACTTGGGAAAAGGTAAAACTCTTTTGGGAAGAAAATCCTTTGGAGTTTTAATTTAAATTTCTCACTCTGAGGGTCTGATAAGACTGAAAATTCAGTTTTATTCTGAATGAGCAGGAAATTGTTCGGTGTATTAAAAAAAAAAAAAACATTCAAAAAGTGCATAATCTGTGCAAGACGTGTTTTAATGAACAATGTGACAAATTTACAGAAGAACTGTCTTCTGGTTGAAACATATAAGTCCTATCACTTCAGGGCAGCTTCTGGTTATGGCAGTATGTCTTATTTGTCACCAATCATGTCATATTTATAAATTAAATACCATCTCGATTAAGCAACATTAAAATGGATTACTGCTGCAGATGTGGAACAGAGAAATCTGTTTTTGAGGACATTTTATTTTTACCACTGATAAAAGGTTAGT